AAGGGCTGGGATGGGGGGCATGAAACACAGCAAAAATGTAAACCAGATTTAAAAAAAAAAACTCAAGGATGGCGCTCGCCACCCACAACTGATTTGAAGTGTTATGATGGGAATCAATCTGGTGCGAGTTGCTGACAGGCCCCCAGTTACAGAAAGAGAGTTTATTCCAATTATCTCCCCTGATTTAATCTTCCTTATTTAATGTGGAGAAGCTCAGCTATTCCTGGGTCTCCTTTCAGAATTTCCATTTGAGTATCCAAATGGATTTCAAGAGCGATAAACACCAGATTAAAACCTTTTACGGTTCTGTCCTGGAACTTTGGAGTGTGAGAGAGAAAACCCCAAAGCCTATTGAATACAGTCGACGTTCAAGAGTTCATTTAGCAACCTTTTGAACTTACGACGGCACTGGGGAAAGTGACTTACGACTGTTTTTTTCCACACTCGCGACCGTTGCAGCATTAGGGATGAATATTTGGACGCTTGGCCACTGGCTCATATTTATGACGGGTGTAGTGTCTGGGGCGGGCATCATGTTTCGTTTTGCGACCTTCTGACAAGCAAAGTCAACGGGAGAAGCCGGATTCACTTAACAAGCAGGTTACTAGTTTAAGAACTGCCGAGATTCAACTGAACAACTCGGGCAAGGAAGGCCATACGGCGTGGCAAAATTCACAACAGCCGTATGTTGGGGACTGCCTGTAGATTAAATGGGCTCTTTTTAAGGGCCAGGAAAAAAGAACAGGGTTTACAAACCAGAAGGACAGGTGGTAGTTGGTGTGGGGAGGGGCTTGCCTTCCTCGCTTCCACGAACAGGCCATCCATTCCATGTTATGGCAAATGCAGCTGACATTCGTGGCTCCTGTTTCTTCCGTCCCTACAAAGGACAAAAGGACAGAATGGCATTTGTCTATCGCTCTGCATATACATGCCCACCTGCCCAAAAGCAAGGAGGAAAGACTAACATTCCCTGGGTCTGAAATCCCCAGCTCAAGCCCCAAGACCCTGTCTTATTTTTGGGAAAACATGGTACTAGCAGAGACCGGATCTGTACAAATCAAAATATTTGCACCAGCATTCAAGGACGTGGAGGGGTTTTGCTCTGCTCCAGTCAAAGCAGCGTGCAAAGGAATCCGTCTCTGCAACACCTGTCAAAGGAAGTGTGTCTTTTCTCCAGGTGGGCCGACACAGCTGCTTTCTGGAGGTGTACAGATCCTCCCCCTAGGCGCTCATCCTACACCCTGCCAAAACTCCCTTGTGTCTTCGGCTCTCGGGCGCTGCCCGGCCCAGTTCCCGGGCTGGTCTCGAAGGGCCCCCAGCCTCGCTACTGGTTTGGCTGGAATGTTTATATCTGTGCAATTCCTCGTTCTTACAGGAACATCTGCATCAACTCGGCGGCTGAAAATTTACCATTTTGTTCCAGCGGGATCTGAAACAATATTCCTTCCTCACTGTTCAAACAAGTTGCGCGTAGCCCAAAAGACATGTTTTTCCCCAGAGGGACAGCCATTATCTTGGATACCTCCGGGCTCCACATCTAACAAGGGGAAAAGGAAGAGCATTTAGGCAGGAGGAGGATCCCAGCCTGTCTCCTGGCGGGAGGGAGGAAATCCTCAGGAGCTCCCTGTCCCATTCTGCCTCTCGTTTTCTTGTTTTCTCTCTCTCGTTTTCTCTCTCTCGTTCTCTCTCTCTCTCTCTCTCTCTCTCTCTCTCTCTCTCTCTCTCTCTCTCTCTCTGCCCACAGGGGGCAGAGAGATTGGGGACCCCTGCGCTGGACGATTTGCCCCAACTCCAAACTCCTTCCAATTTTTCAGCTTCTCGAGAAGCTCTTTCCTGTGGACGCCCCCCCCCCCCAAAAAAAATCTGTTTAACATCTAAGATTAGAAAAGGCAGCGAGAGTGGAGGGTGGGGTGAGGGCAGGCGACCCCCTCCCCCATTTGCCAGGGACTTGTAATTCAGCTTCTGTTTTCTGTCATCTTTTCATTACAGACACCATTGTGTCGCTCCACCCTCCCCGACAGCTCGCTTAGCAACCTGCATTGAAGTCAAGGACTCTCTT